CGAACCCTTGTAGGGTAATGTGCCAGGGAAAAAAACACCTCGGAAATGCCCTGGTATGGCCACTCGAGCAATTATCACTGAATTGGATGGCCACGCGAGCAATTCGGGGACACGTGGGCAAGAGCGAATCACCAAACAAGGCCCTGGAGCAATTCTCTCGAGCATTGGTGTTTAGCAAGATTAGTGCAGAGTGGATGGGCACTGAATGGAGGGGTGGGCGAAGAAGATCCGCACAAATACAGCGAACGACTTCCATTCTGTGGTGATCTCAAGAGCAGGCCCTCGTCGCATCGCGATATTTCTCCAAGTCATTCCTTGGCTCTCCTCTCCTCCCAGTTCGCGCTTCCCAAGTGAGCCGGCTCCACTGGTGATGGTCAGGTGCTCAAATATTCACGGATCACCTGTTCTCCAGACTGCTCCATCTGGATTTTCACCTGCGTTTTGAAAGTGTGCACCAGAACATGACGGACAATTTCAGTAAGGGAGCGAAGTGACGTGTTACGTTACCAGAATCGTGGTGTGACACAGTCGCAGCTCGCGACCAGTTTCGTGCCCAGTAGCACCAGCACCAGCTTATCGTGTTACTTCGCCCAATCGCAAAGTGCTCTGTGCCCGTCATTGGTTTCTCCGTTAGTGTGTGACTTCTTCGCAATGAAACAAACCCGTCTCGTCGCTTTGCAATTATAATATCCTTAGATGCTGAGCAGAAACAAAACAAGGTTGTGACGAAAGCACCGTTCGAAGAGTTTGGCTGACAACAGCCAAGCACTTGTATTCTCCAGAACATGAATTCCCTTCGATTCATTTACTTCGCAGCCATGGCGTCATTTTTGCTGCTGATACATTCGCAGCTCACGACAGCATCGGGCTCTTTTGGCTTACGGGGAGTTTTTTAGAGACACCGTTCAGGGACACCGCTCTGCTTGCTGTGTCAAGTGGTTGCCGTCTCGCACGCATCCAAACTCCGCCGCCTCTCCTCTCTCCTCCATGCCGCATCACGTGGCAGTGAATAATTCTAGACCAATAATGGACAGACGAATCGCTGCTATGGTCATAGGCGATTGCGCTTATCCGTTCCGCTTCCTTCAGCGTACCGTTCCGTTCTGTCCGATACCCAATCCCTCCCGTTACGCCAATCAAACCCTAAGGGCCTTAGCCAGCAGCCCCACACGCCTGACTTAGGCGGGTATCTTTCCCCTCTCAAGGAATTCTTTCACTGTCGTATTCTTCCGTCTCCCACGGCCTCCTCCCACGGCCTCCTTGCACGGCCTCCTCGTACCTCGTTCCCGCGTCTCCCGCACACACTGCAGCTCCACCATTCCGCAAAACTCTCAGCCCACACACATCCGTACGACCCGCCAGGTCGTGTAACACAGGCGACTTGTTGAGATTGGTCATGGAGATCCCATAGAAATCCCGCCTCTCTGGTGTCTCGCTTACAGCAATCTTCAGTCAAATCTGGGGTCCGACTTAGTCTTTTTCCTGTGGACGGCTTCTCTTCCTGCTCTGTCTAGTTTGCTCTGGTGCTGAAGTTGCAACCGCGTTTTCGAATTATCTGATGCTAGGAAGCTTCGGATCGCTCTCTATCGCGTACACCAGGGCTGCGGTGGTGAATGTCCAAAGCGCCGACAGCGATTTCTCCGTCGCTGACAAATCGAATATCTTCTCGTCCTGCGCGTCATGCCTCCGATACCGATCTTCCCACGCGTCGCATTCCAGAAGATTCGGACGACGTTCCACGTAAGCAGCCCCTCGGCCATCCACCAGCGCGAATCGCGGACGCTGAAAGCGACGAAAACGGCGGCGTGTTTTCCGCTTTGGACTACGAATCGCAGCTATTCTCTCATCTGCTTCCGCAGCTCTTTTCTCATCCCGTCCCGCGTCTCCTCCACGCTCCTGATGACGTCAGCAGCCTGCAGAGCACCGGCCGACTGGCTAGAAGCACGGAACGTCCGTGCAGCGCTGCTGGTAACCCGACGGAGGGTAACCTTACGGATGAGTACGGGGAATCCCTGACGGCGGGTTACAGCGAAGATGATTACCAATTTCGTAACATTCCGTCGCGTGAAACCCTGGAATTGAGCTTCCAGAATGGCGACGAGTGCGGAAGCCTCTTCGAGTTTGATTCAGCAGGGAACCATGAGCTTGGGCTCGAGTGGAACCATGAGGTGGCAGACCATGATGTGACAGACCATGACGTGGCTGGCCATCAGGATACAGGCAATGACGTGGCGGCGAAATCCAAGGAGCCAGGGTGCGAGGGGAAAGGGCAAGTGGTGATTGAGCAAGGAGATGGGTCAGACGAGGAATTGGGAGATGTAGGGACGGCAGGTGAGGGGATGGGAAGAGAAGAGATGGGAGGGCAAGGAATGGGAGGGGAAGCGATTGGAGCAAGGGGGAAAGGCCAAATGGGGATTGAGCGAGGGGCTGGGTCAAACCAGGAATTGGCAGATCGAGAGATTGGAGGGGAAGGGATGGGAGGCGAGGGAATGGGAGGCGAAGGGACGGGAGGCGAAAGTATTTTAGGCGAAGACACAAGGGTTCAAGAGGATATCTGGGAAGAAATCGCGTCGTGGAACGGAATCAGGGGAGCAACGACGGCTGGGATGCAACAGCAGGCTCCCATGGCTAGTTTGGACGAATCTGATTGGCTCTGGTACCTCCCAGAATATCCAAGAGCAAATCTCATGAATACACACAGGGATTCTGTGGAAGATGTGGGAAAGGTATTGGATGAAATCTCGCAGAAAGAGGGTATTAATCGCCCAGGGCAGCGAGATTCGGGCCAGGAGAAGAGGGAGGAAGAGAAGAGGGATCAAGTGGAGAGGGAATTGGCAGAAGAATTGATGGGGGAATTGATGGGCCAGGGAGGCGAAATGCTAGTGGATGTAGGGAGGTGTGTGGCGATGAGTGCATGTGTGTCTGTCAGAGGGATGGAGGTTGCTGAGGTCAATGGAACAACGGCAAGCCATGATGGCATGGCTGGCGGTCGTGGCATGGATGCTGGTGGTGCAATCGTGACGCATGATAGCATGCATGGCATGGTGATGATGGACGGTCATGTCATGGGTGCTGATGATGGTGCCATAGTGACCCAGAATGGCATGAATGATATGGATGGCATGAGTGGCATATATGGCATGGATGGCATGGGCATCCATGGTATAGATGCTGAGGACATGCATGGTCAAAGCATGCATGGCATGGGTGCTGGTGCAATGGTGACCTCTAATGACATGCATGGCATGGTGATGGGTGGTCAGGGTATGGATACCGATGGTGCAATGCTGACCCAAAATGGCATGGATGGTACAGGTATCAGCGCATGTGTCATTGCTCCTGGCCGAAGCTGGTCGTTTGGTGGTTCGGAGTGGATGGGCAATGGTGGTCCGGCAGTGGGCGGCAGCAGTGGGTGGCACAGGATGGATTTGCTGCTGCTGGAGCAACCACTGCCGCCACAGGAGCAGCAGCAACAACAACAACACAACCAACAATGCTTGCAGCAGCCGCAGAAGCAGCAGCAGAAGAAGCACCTTCACTTGCTGCAACAACAGGAGAAGCAGCAGCAGCAGCTACAGCAGCCGAAGCAGCAGCAGCAGCAACAGCGTCACTATCACCAGCTTCTGTCGCTGCCACGGCTACCCCTCCCAGTTCCACATGCTCCTTTACGACCGCTTCTGCATTCAGCTGGACAAATCATGCAGCAGCAGCAGCACCTGCAGCAGCAGCGGCAACAGCAGCAACAGGAGGAGGAGAAGGAGGCGGAGGAGAAAGTGGAGGAGGAAGAGGTGAAGCAGGCGCAAGAACGAGTCTCCCTGCTGTCCCTCTCACCTGCTCTCACCATGTCACTCTCAGCACCATCACTAGCAAAAATACCTACACCACCCTCACCAATATTGATCGCACCGCCACCACTGCAAGTACTACAACCACCAGCACCACAACCACCGCCAACACTTCTGGGGCTACCCCCCTTACCCCCACTCCACCTGTCACCCTCACTCCATCATTCTCCCGCACTCAAGCCGCTTCCCCATTTCAAATCGCCACCAATTCTCCAGCCCCAACATACTCTTCTGCCTTCGCTTGCCTCAGCACCAACACTTAGCACAACACCACCACTTAGCCCACCACTACCACTTAGCACAACACCGTCACTTAGCCCTCCATCTCCCCTTCGCTTGCCACCAGCTCTTAGCCCACAAGTGCCACATGGCACTCCACGTGGCAGCACTCCACGTGGCATGTGCCAAGTGTCTTCACGTGCTCAGGCTTTGCATCAGGGCCAGCAAGCAAGAAGCGTTCGTGGCTCAGGCAGGGGGGGAGCGTTGAGGGGGGGTGGGAGTGCAAGGAAGAGAGTGAGAGTGAGTGTGAGAGAGGGAGGAGAGGGGGGAGGAGGAGGAACAAGGGGATTGGAGGGGGGAAAGTATTCTGTGTCTGTTTCGCCTCCTCTTCTGCCCACTTCACACAACATCCACAACGCTTCTTCAGCCGTTCTTGCTACTGTGCCTGCAACTGCTGCTACTACTTCTGCCACAGCTGCTCCCACTTCTGCTGCTACTGCTGGTGCTTTCCCTACTGTCTCTGCTGCCGTCACCACTGCTGCTGCTGCTTCTACTTCTGCCGCTCTAGCAATAAGACAAGATGGAGGAGAGGGGCGGGATAGACTGAAGGCGGTGGTGAGGTCGCTACTGGGGGAGGTGGGATGGATGCTAGGCTGCCTAGCTGGGCCGACAGACATAGCTGATCCCCTCACAGAGAAGGCTGCGCCCTTCGAAAGGATGCCTAAGCCTCTCTTAGGGATGCCTGAGGCATCAGCTGTTGCATCTCTTAGGGAGGCCTCAGCTGAGGTTCAAGTGAGGCACATGTTGCATGCTTTTGACCCACTGCATGCCGCCCTGACTGTCCCCACAGGGATGGTTGCTCCTTTCACAGACAAGTCCGGGCCTTGTACGGGAATTACCGCAGCAGGGGGCACAGCTGAGGCTCGTGTGAGGCAGATGCTGCATGCATTTGACCCGCTACATGCTGCCCTTGAGGCAGATGGTGCTGGCAACTCTCCTGCAGACTCAGCTGCTCTTGGCGTCTTACCTGCTCCACCTAAGATTTTTCTCCCGGTTCTCCCTGGGGAAAAATCCCACCTACCCGATCTACTGGGTCTGCCGGGTCTGCCGGGTCTGCTGGGTCTCCCAGATCTGACGGATCTTGCCCCGTTTGCTGCAATCCACTGGTTCGGGTCAAGGCTCAACTGCGTGCTAAGTAAGACACTTAACGGTGAGTGGCAGTGGCAGGCTGGCGCTTGTGGGTGAGCACGGAAGGTATGGGGCTTAGAAACGGAGGAGGGGTTCAGATGAAGGGGTAGATGTGGGGGGGGGGGTGGCGGGAGAGGGGCTGGGCGGGAAGGGTGGGACGAGGGGGGAGAGGAGGGGGAGGAGAAGGAGGGAAGCGGGCGGGAAGCAGGGCTGAAGTCCACTCAGGCTTGGGGCGAAGGGGAAATGGCAGGAGTGGTTCAAAGCGGTGGAAGGGAGGGAGGGTATGGGCATGGGATGCAACACCTGGCGTCCACTGTGTCTTTGCTTTACCTTAATCGCATCTCGCTCTCTCCCTTGATTGTCTCTCCTTACTTCCTCCCCTCTTTGTCTCTGTTTAGCAGCAAGAAGTCCCTCGTTCCGGGTTACTGCTGCAGCTGCACCTTCAAGCAATCAGCACAGTCAGCCCTTCCTGCCATCGCAGAAGCTTCTGCTCCCTTCCACGCGTCTGCATCCACCGCCTTTGCTGCTGCCGCAGCCAGCGCTGCCAATAACACCTGCTCCAGGTGCACCTACGCTGATGCCACCACTTCCGGGATCCGCTGTGCCTATCTGTCCAGTATCATCTCCATTACTATCACCACTGCAGCCATCACCACCACTATTGTCACCAGCGCTACCGTCCCCACCGCTGCCAGCAAATCACATAAGCCCTTCTCACTGCATCAGTGGCAAGAGGGAGAGGAGGAGGAAGGAGGGGAGGGAGCGGCGAGCAGTGAGTGCGAGGGAGCAGCTGGGGCTGTCAGGGGCCAGGGGGGCCCTGCCGCAAGCTGCCGCCCAGAAGATGCTACAGTGGCTGGTGACGCATTGGGATAACCCGTAAGCTTGTGTTCACGGAATGGGGATGGGATGTTGGGTATGTGGCAATGATGTGCTGTGATGGGAGGGGATGGGGTGGGTTTGTGCTGGACTGTGTTGTTGGGTACTTCGCTGATCCAGTGGTTCTTTGGAGGGCATGACTGACGGATGCGGCAGTTGTGGTGGTTGTCTTGTTATCTTGCTACTCATGTGTGGGTTTTTTACGCCTGCTCTCCACTTTCCACCATCCCAACCATGGAAACCATCTGGAAACATTGTCGTGGGTTTTCTCTTGTGTCCTCAGGAAACCATCAAAAGAAGAGAAGATGGAGTTTATGACTGCATTCAACATTACGAAAAAGCAGGTAAGCAAGCTCTTGAAGTTGTTTTGCATATTCTTGTTGTATTGTGCTTTTCAAACGGATCTTGCTTGCCAGGTTGAAGACTGGTTTGTGAATGCTCGAGCAAGATTGTGGAAGCCGTTGGTATGTATATGGTTGTACTACGCCGTTTTCTTGCTTTTCATTTGTCTAAACATGTTTGATTGCCACACAGACTGCAAAATTGTGTGCCGAAATCGTGAGAGGTTTTATTGCAACGAGCTGACTACGTTTTGAGAACTAATGCGACTATTTTTTACATCCCGGTTTATGTATATGTAGTTTTCCACTGAATGGAAACGATGTGAAAAATGCTGCTGTATATTACGTCATGGATGGCCAGCTGCAAAGGAATGAATGATTCGTTACTCAATATCGGAGATCCTGGATTTCGCATGTGTGTGGTTGATATTGCACACCACCAGAGTCTCCCTCAGGCACAAGTTTCCAAGAAGTGTTGTGTCAGGACGCAGGTGCAGGCACCCTTGTTCGCTGAAATCGGTGTTAAAGTGTTACGAATTTCGCCGCGCGTTAGAATGGTTGTGGTCGTCCTCGGTGATTGCATTTTATCCACCCACCACCCCCTTTCGCAAAAGCACTGAACCATGCGTCTCATGGTGTCACGGTCATCACTTTCAATAGGTTTGCTGACTAGACCCATATTCCTGGGGGAACTTTTGCTTTCCCAGCGTTATTCTGCCACGTCGACTCTGCCTGTCGAACCCCGCGAATCTTGTTTTGGCCTCACACCTCCACATAATCCCCACCTCGAGTTTGGTTGGCCAGATTCGCTGAGCCGGGCGATCAGGTTCGCGTTCTGATTGGAGCCGCACACGCAGGGAAATTCTCAAGGGGCAGGCGAAATTATGGAGCCCATTCCTCGAAGGTTCAATTCGCCGGTCTCTTTTAGGCCGTTGGATTCTCCATTTGCATCAACCTCGACGGCCGATCAATCGTCCCCTCAGCAATGACAGCCCCGCTTCCCGTTTTTCACGCAGAAAAGACCACTTCGGTAAGGCTGCCCTGTGTCACCTCTTCAAGCGATACCCACCACAACAATCACAGAATACTCATCCGACACTGGCAGCCATTGAAATACTGTATCTGTAACCTTCCATACATTACAGTCAGGCCAATACAGGTTCCAGCAGTCATTGTAGAGCCCCAGCACTTCGAGGCTGCACTTAGCGAGAAGAGGCTTCTTCCACTTCATCACCAGTGCGTTGCTGGTCGCAGGATCACGGTATATTTTTCGTGTACTAGCTTACCAGCTTGGGGCATTGTGAGGGAGCCTTTCAACATACCGATGACCTTGACCACGGGTGTCACTCATACTACACTGCCGGTCAAAATGGTTTCCGTGGCACTAGTTCAGGCCGCTGGTGTTAAGGACCTGACAGTTGCAGCTCCGAACAACCATGGCTCCATGTCAACAGCCAACACACAGAGCCTTTCTTGGGGAAACCGGTCCTTTTGGAATACAGGGAAACAGCTTAACAGCAGCAGACAAGTTGTCCGTCCTTCAGTAGATCGCGCCGGCTCCTCTCTCTCTCAACCACGAGCTGTTCTTGATGTACCAACCGGCCAAGCCGGAACCTTTCAGGGGTTTCAAAAGAAGCTTGTGATTCCCGGCCAAAGGAAATCGGACTCTGATTATGTGTCCGCAGAGCAAAGAATATTCGATGTTGTAGTTAAGGAGGCTGCAGACACTTACATTTCCAAGCCGGCTGAGAAAGAAGCGCCAGTTTTGATGACCCCGGAGCTCTTGGCAGAGGCTTATGAGCGTTGTGGAGAAGTTTGTGCCGAGTACGCCAAGACATTTTATCTTGGTGAGGCTTCCAGCTAGTTCCTTTCTTCTGAACCTTTTGCATGTTGCGTGTTCAATTCGACTGACTCCTGTTCTCTGTGTTTGCGCAGGGACCAAACTCATGACCCCCGAGAGGCGCCGAGCTATCTGGGCCATTTATGGTACGTATTCATGCCCCTGTCCACACGCGCACCCTCTTATACGTTAGAAATTGGTTCCACACGCGCACCCGTTATATGCCTTCAGTACGTTTGAAGATGTATGTTTCGTCCTGCTGTTCAGCGTTCAGCTCTTTTTTTTTTTTCCACATCATCACACCGTGTTTGCTGCATTGTAGTGGTTCTGTAGACCACAGGAAGTCGTACAGGCATTTCGAGTGGGGTATGCATTCGTCAATGGCAGCTAAACGTTGCATTCGTTTCCAGTTAGCGACTGTCCAATATATGTGCTCAACCATCTTGCAATGTGCCTCTCGCTGTTCCAGTTTGGTGCCGGAGAACCGACGAGCTAGTGGATGGTCCGAACGCGTCCCACATCACCCCGAGGGCTCTAGACAGATGGGAGGAGCGCCTGGATGAGCTCTTCCAAGGTCGACCGTACGACATGCTGGATGCTGCTCTCTCAGACACCATCCAGACATTCCCTATGAGCATTCAGGTACGAAGAGATGTCTCGCTGGATAAATGTTTACTGCCTCCGCGCGTCGAATTTGAATGCATGCAAGAAACCATGTACGCAGCTCCGCAATTCGAACGTGTTTTTCCGTATCCCCATCAATGTCTTTCCAGCCCTACAGGGACATGGTCGATGGCATGCGGATGGACCTGAGGAAGTCCCGTTACCGCACGTTCGACGAGCTCTACGTGTACTGCTACAATGTGGCCGGCACTGTCGGCCTTATGAGTGTTCCTGTCATGGGAATCGACCCCAAGTCTAAAGCGCCTGTAGAAGATGTGTACAAGGCTGCTCTGGACCTTGGCATTGCCAATCAGCTCACAAACATCTTGAGAGATGTTGGAGAAGAGTAAGTGGTGGTCTGCCTTTCGTCACCTTTTCACCTCCAGCTTCTTTTTCAGCTCCGCGTACCATTTATCGCATTCGTTTGCAAGTTAGGTACTTTCCGAATTCATAGCCAGAATTGCATCAGCATGTAAAACGTTTGCAGTGCTCCTCTTTCAGTACCCCGAGAGTACCAGTCCAGAATCATTGCCTTGAGTCCATGAGTTAGTGCTTCTTGTGCTGCTGCAGTACCCATGTTGGAAAAATCCTCATCACCCACGTTTGATGTGAAACCTAGCTTTACTCGAGTCCTCGTTCTTCCCACTTTCCGTCTGCAGTGCTCAGCGGGGCCGTGTGTACCTTCCTCAGGACGAGCTGGCCCAGTTTGGCCTCTCTGACGATGACATCTTTGAGGGCAAGGTGACTGACAACTGGCGCAACTTCATGAAGTTCCAGATTGAGAGGGCTCGCAACTACTTCAAGACAGCAGAAGCAGGCGTGGTTGAGCTCGACAGCCAAAGCAGATGGCCGGTAAGCCTATTTCACTTCCCCTTGTCGTGTTCCATCTTCGCCAGAGTTTCACTATTAGACTGAGGGCATGTTCCTACGGCCCTTTATCAGGCTCGCGTCACAACACACTGAAATTTCCCTAAACCCGAAAACCTTCGCGAATTTTACCAGGCAAAAATGCGAAGCTGATACGAGGTGTCCCTGACACTAGTAGAGCACCACGTTGGTTTCTCTCCTTCGCCAGGGTGACACTAATAGAGCACCACCTTGCTTCGGTCCCTGTGGTACAAGGCTCAAAAATTCATTTGCCAACTTCCTCTTGTACCCTATTTCAGGTCTGGGCCTCCCTGAGGCTCTATGCTCAAATTCTTGATGCCATTGAAGCCAATGACTATGACAACTTCACCAGAAGGGCTTATGTTTCGAAGTGGAAGAAGATGATGTCACTCCCTGGCACTTACATTGTTGCTGCAAAAGGCCCCCAGTAGTCTGAACAATTTATTCGACTGCAATGAGTACTTATCCATTGTTACTAGATTCCTACCTGTCTGCTTTTGATGGTGTTGAATTAATGAGTAGCTAGCTGAAATCTTGTATGAGATTTTCATGCGGGGCTGGATGTGCACCCCGTCCTCTCTGTTCTGAGCCGTCACATATCCCTGCTCTTGGCGCGTATGCATTTCAAAGAATTGTTTGGACTGTGCTTCTGGAAAAGCATCATGCATCTGTGACCACGTCAACATTCACCTGTTCGGCCAATAACGAGCCTCGTTCTAACAACAGCACACCAGCACAGCATGTGGCTGGCAGACGACTCAGCAGCACCAAGGCCAGGGAGACTGCAGAGAAATGTCGAGTCACCAAAGCCTTCCGAAACGCCAATCAATTTGTGGTGACTATGCTCACCTGTTTCAGTGCACCCTTCACCATATCCCCGCTGGCAGTTGCCCCTCTCCAGCACGTGCTCACTGGTTGGAACGTGGAACGCGGCTTTCATTCCGGGGAGTGCACACGGCGCAGGGCAGTGGTTGGCGCAACTTGAACTGCGGAAGCACTGTGGCAGCCCACCCGCATCTCCCCGCGTCCACTGGAGAAACTCTGCGGAAGGGCAGCAAGAACTGGGGCAAAATTGCACTATGCGCTGTATCTAGAACTTTCCTCAATCCCATCGACCAAGCTCGCACTGCAGGTAGGGAGACCGAACCTCGTCCAAATGCATCTACCTACATGCGCTTTCGTGATTGTAACAACAATTTCGGCCTCGATAAGGGGGTCGCCAACTTTCGATGTCATTGTCTCGTGATGGTGGAAAAGTTTCGCATGCTTTGACTGTTGGGGGTTGCGTGAGGCAAAGTTTGCCCCCAACCACCGAATGCGTTGCTTCCGGTTGACTTCACTGCAGGTTTCGTGGAGTTGCAGGTTGACTTCGGAAAAACAGCAGATCGGTGCCACATGGCAGCACCTAGAACATTTGAAGACTTAAAGAACATTCGAATGTGTGAAATTCGGTTGCCGAATTTCACCACATCGAAATGTTACCGACGGAACATTCGCGACACTTCATGTAACAACTCGATGTTACTTGTGCAATTCGACGAATTGAGTAGCTATAAATGTGTGCGCTTTGTATGCATGTTTCATACTGAAATCGAGAATCACTTTGTATGTGATACATTCGACTACAAAATCCAAAGAACTCCTCTCCTAGATTCCAAGAGCACTACCTAGCACATAAACGCCTATATCTCGCTCGATACTTAGGCGATCGAGGTGATCTATGGCTCGTTGGAAAGCAAACAGAGTGCTCTATTGTTTAGTTCAAATCCCAGTTCCTGCCAAACACAGGAGAGTCCTTTACAACAGTGGTATCAGAGCTGGTCGGAAGAGTCTACGCGCGCAACAAGAAGCTAGCATGCCGACGTCAAGCGAGGCCTCCCGCACTTCCTTGGATGGTGTCATTGTAAATTCCGGCGAACCTTGAGCAACCGCGACGATGTTCGACATGTCGGCGATACCGATTTTCACGGGACAAAACTACTCCGCGTGGAAGTTTAAGTTCCAAGTGCTCATGATGGAGCGGGGACTTTGGGGTTTCTTCGATAGAACGGAGAAGAAGCCGGACAACGAGAGCGACATCGCGGCATGAAAGAAGAGGGACCAAAAGGCGTTCGCTACGTTGATTTCGCGCATCGGCATCAATCTCGTGAGCTCGGTGCGCATGTGCATCAAGCTCGAAGCGTCGGCGCATGAAGCGTGGAAGCGGCTCGAGACGATGCACGTGAACAAGACTCCCCACGACAAGATCCTAGCCCGGAATGCGTTCTACAGGGTGAAGATGCGCGTTGACGAATCGATGCACAAGTATGCGACTCGTGTGGAGGAACTCGGGGAAATGTTCATGGACCTCGGTGGAACAGTCACGGAGGAGGATTGCATTTTGACCTTGCTATGTGGCCTTCCGGAAGAGTGGTCGACGGTGATTACGACACTCGATAGCGTGCAGGACACTTGGATGGAGAAAATAGTGGTCGGTCGGCTTCTCCATGAAGAATCGCGTTGCCGACAATTCGCTAATGAAAGCGAGGGTGCCGCCATGTTCTCCGGAGGGAGTTCCGGAAAGAAGTCTACGTGGAGCAAAGGTGTGACGAAGAAGTCGTCCGGTGGAAGCGATCGCGGCAAGGGAAACACATCGAATGGCTCGAGCAAGTGCCACTATTGTGGCAAGGCGGGACACTTTTGGCGTGAGTGTCGGAAGCGCCCGAGCGATTGGACTCCATCGAAGGCGCGGAACCACGAGGGCAACGCGTACACGGCATCCGGCGATGCGGATGATTCAAGGGAGCCAATCGTATTATTGGCCGGTGGCGGGACCATCACACCAAGCGACGCATGGTTCCTCGACACTGGCGCAACACAACACATGACGCACTCGGCATCGTTCCTCACCAACGTTGGTGCACCGGGAGATGTAACGCGCGTCGTCTTTGGAAACGACAAGTCGCTACCGGTGGTCGGAGTTGGAAGTACGCGCCTCATCGTCGATGGCGGGCCGGTGGACATCACGAGCATGCTTCATGTCCCGGGGTTGAAGGTGAATCTCCTCTCCGTCAGTCAACTCACGAAGAAGGGTGTGAAGGTCACTATCGACGATGCGAAGATGAACCTCTTTTGGAAGGGGAGGCAATTCGCACAAGGCGTTCTCAACGAAGAACTCTACCAACTCAAGACGCACCCGAAAGCGGCTTCATCCAACGTGGCGCAAGGCTCCAAGGCGACTCTCAAGGCGTGGCATAATCGGCTTGCGCACGCCAACTACGAGTCGGTCAAGGAGTTGGCCAACAAAGGACTTGCGAAGGGATTTGACGTGATCGCCGGCGACGACGAGAAGGGCGTATGCGCGGCGTGTGTCGAAGGAAAAATGGCTTGCAAGCCATTTGGTAGTCGTACCTCACCCCTCGCTAAGGACCCGCTTGCGCTTGTTCACATAGACGTGTGTGGACCGATGCGGCATGCATCAAAGGGAGGAGCGCGGTTCCTCTTGGTGATGCTCGTCGACGCGGCGCGGATGTGTTGGACCCGGCTCTTGAAGGCTAATGGAGATGTGACCAAGGCGATTCAAGAGTGGGCGCTTGAAGTTTGCGACGACGATAAGAAGCGGATGAAGGTTATTCGCACTGACGGTGGCGGCAAATTCGTGAACGCGGAGATTGAGAAATGGATGAAGAGCAAGGGCATTAAGCACGACGTCACAACACTCTACACACCCCAACAAAATGGAGCGGCAGAGCGGCTTAATCGCACGTTGGTGGAAGCCGTTCGTTCACTTCTTCAACACTCCAAGCTTGGGAGCGAGTGGTGGGGTGAGGCGAGTTCGTTGGCGGCGTGGATTCGCAACCGTTTGCCGACGAAGGTGCTCCCGGGAGCGACTCCGTTCGAAGCATGGACCGGAACGAAGCCGAACCTATCCCTCCTACGCACCTTTGGGTGCCTTTGCTACTACCATGTACCGGATCCCCTTCGCCACAAGTTGCAACCGAAAGCTCGTGTGGCAATCTACTTGGGAATTGCGGCGAACGAGTGCGCGTGGCGAGTATGGGACTTGGGTGAAAGGCGCGTCGTCACATCTCGGGACGTGGTCTTCGACGAAGGAACAACCAACGCCGCAACGCACCGTCGTCCTTCCCGCACAAGAGGAGGATGAAGCGATGGAGGTTCCATCACAAGTGGAAAAGGAAGCCAAAAATGGAGGGGGAGAGAACGAGGAGAGCGATGACGACGTGGTGGAAGTGCCATCAACCGCGGCGGCAACTTCCTCAACACCTTCCTCCCTCCCATTGGCGTTGATCCGCAAGCAACGTACACGTCGCCCCAACACGAAGTACACCGACTATGCTACGGTAGCCGTTGGGGAGTTGGACGAGGAGCGTGCGGCATATTGCTTCGCAACCTTGGGTGATGAACCTCGCACCCATACCGAGGCTTTGGCTCCTCCGAATGCGCCACTATGGAAGCAAGCGAT